TTTGACATTCGTCCCCCTAAACGGAAGGGAAATATGTTAGCATAATTTTAATATACACCATTCAAAATTACGTAAAAAGCACTTTCAAATGAGCCCCTTCAAAGTTCTGTAGGTTTATTTCCAGCCGAGATATGGAGTTTCAAAGTTAGAGTCGTTTTGTTCTCGGATGGGTAAAGATTATTGGGCAGGAGTGTACATGCCCGTCGGCCATGCCCTTTGTAAATATCGATGACCTAGTATCTACAGAAAATCGCCTCATACGTTGAAGAACTGGCTGCAGTAGTAGTGGAGTGTAGGGTTCTTGAATTTGTTCAGACGCCCCAGCACCGTCTTGGCAAAGGAAACATTCACCACTGTACTAGCGAGGAAAAGGTACCGCCACAAAGTAATCTATCTACTGATTTATTAGCTAAGTCCGTGCAAGGCACTGTCGTACAATAAAGAAAAAGAAAGGCTACAGTAATTCGCGCGAGCAGAGACACGTGTTGTCGGCCTCAAGTCCACCAGCTAATTGCCGCTAGCGGTGTCCCTCCTCATACCTCAGTCTTACTCGCGTGCGTCGCGACTTGTCGAAAAGCTCTCAGTGCGACGTATATGTTAGGGCATATCGCTCTCTCTTTCCTTTTCTCTAATACGACTCTTTATTGCTCTCTCTCGCTCTCTCTCACCTTTTGGTTGCGTCGGCTGCTGCTATATATATTAAGATTTATAGTATAATATAATAGTATAACATTCATATTAATACATAAAGGGAGAGAGAGAGAGAGAGAGAGAGAGAGACATAACGAATGAAACTTCAATTCGTTATAAAACCAATAGCGCTAATCAATTCTACGAGAAAAATTATAATGAAAACCTGTGTAATATTTTTCTGTTAATCCGCAATCAACAAGCGTAGGCAAGACAAAGTGAAAAGTTTTTCACCTACTCGTATCTTATTTCTAGATAATCTGATGAAGCATTGAATTTTTATTTGGTGATGTGTCTATGTCTTTTAACGTAAAGTTATACTACATTTTTGGTAATAATGTTCACTTCTTATCTCACATCATGATATTGCAGATTATTTTTTAATAACCCGTATTATCTCATGTTAACGCGATCAGGAATCACTTAATCTTCTTCGTTCACTAGAATATTTATTATTACTAAATGATTTCTAACACAGTTTCCAGATTTTTATAGCTGAACAGTTCCACCAACTAACCGTTAGATTCTAGTATTTATCAGATCGGACCTGCAAAATCGAAATTTTGTCAATTCAAAAATTTATTACCCCTTCATCATAATTTTTCTCGTAGAATAGATTGGCGCAATAACTTTTTGAATACTATGAATTTTTTCACAATTTGTTTGAATAATTTTTTATAAACAATGGCAAATGACAAAAGAAAAAATAGAGGTATTTTTTAACTATGCCCGTTTTCGCCAGTTAATTTCATGCTATGTTACTCAGGTTTAACCTAGGCTTTAATGGGTTAAATCATTAATTATGTGCCACAAACCAATTATAAAATAAATCTACGATATTATTATCTTTTGTGCGAATATCGCTGGCATTTGTTCAGTGATCATACTTGATCATAGCTATTTCGAAATTTCCCAGATCGGCGAACGATGAAATGATTTTGTTCGGGCAAATATTTATTTTCATCCGCAGTCATTAGTATTTCCAATCCGTTCATTTTTTGTCAATAAATTGGACTGACTTTCACATAATTGAAATGACCAATAACGTTAAAAACTGGTATTATTAATTTTACAATCTATTTAACACTTGACAAATATCTTTGTGAATTGTAAATTCTCTCTCTCCTTCTCTTACTCTGTCTTTCTCTCTCAATCCAGGGTCTCGAGAAGGCTGGATGCGCAGGCGGTGGCTACTAGGTCTATTCAAATGACCTCCATTTTAATGTTGCAAAAACGAAAATTATAATCTTGCATAATGATGCTTTATATCTCGTTCCTGAATCTTCATTTTCCAAAGATTAAAAATAATAATCTTCACTTCAGTGAAAGTATCCTTTTATCAATATTATCCGCAAAGCCCACCGCTCCTTGAATACGCTTAAATTTTATAAGAAATTTCTTTATCATAAGACAAAGAAAAATTTATAACGTAAATTATAAATTACTCCCAGCCTGACATCACCGATTTAAATATTCTTTTGATATATTGTATATCATAGAAAAATAAGTAACGCGTGTTATATTTTGTAACGGGGTGAATACCGTTTAATTAAATTATTCGCGCGATCTTACTGAAAGGCGCGCGTAATTACCTACGTCAGACACGAAAATCGGAGAGCAGGAGGGAACGGGTGTCAGTCAACCAACTAACTACAAATACGAGAAGAACACTTCGAAAGTACTGTTAACATCACATACGAGAACTTTTATTATCTCTTAATATTACATCAAATTCGGCCCGCGCGTTTGTTTACATTAGCGCGCACGACAACAACATGCGGTGTCAGATCGCTCGCCGCTGTTTGTTTGCCGAGATGTTACATGCACGCTTTACTTCGAGTACGGAAAATTGGTTATTAGACATGCTATCGCGGTCGCGAGATCAAGCTGGCCAGCTTACCTTAATGACGAGTGTTTGGCAGCGAATGAAACTCAGCACACACAGCGCATTCGGGCAAGGTATTTTGTTCCCCCTTTTTTTGTGGGTCGCGAACTCGCGCGGGCACGGTTTCGCCTTCGATGGCGAAACACCTCACACACACACTTGTGGTAACAGGCTAAGGCACCGCGTTTGCAGGCTCAGGTCAGCTCTCTCTGGGCGTCTCGGCAATAACCAAACCACCTGCGATCGGAGGATTTCGATCTCGCTTTCAATTTATGCGTGTCTCGTGAAACGGCGGCAGAACCTATATTCGCCGCTCCTCGTATCGGTAGTTAGGCCTGCACTCTCGATCAGCTCGTCTCGGCACTTGGGAAAACTCGGGAACTATCAACTATCCCACCTTGCACAGCGACCGGATGCCAATCTTCGACTCCTCTCGGCGATATCGATAGCTGATCCTCGACTGCCTCATTTTCATACGCGCGCGTTCCGTCCCGTCGCGTGCCGAATTACCTCGTCACATTTTCCCCAACCGGTAGGTGCTGCCCTCGCGGGCAGCCGCACGGTTGGGCCGTTAGCGCTAATAAGACGTTTACCGTCACAATTTTTTTAGTGGAAAAATTCTTTAAGAGGATGAAATCCGTCTGAAAAGTGAAATAAGCAATTTATCTCAAGTTCTAATTACTATTTTAGAATAAAATAAGTTTCATTTTATTTTTCATCTAAATGCGGAACTAGTACATGCAGTTCCGATCATAAGTGATGCAACCCTTTCTGTAGTTATTAATAATCCTATAATTTTTTAATCTATTTTTAAGGCATTGATAAGAAAAGTGAAATGAAATTTCTTTTATTGTAAAATATTAATTAAAACTTGAGATAAATTGCAAAATTCTTTTATGAGGTTGAACTTAAGGGTAGATTTCATCTCCTTAAAGAGTTTTGGGGGTATGAAATATTAAAAAAAAAAGAAACACGTTTTACTTATTTTTCTATTATTTAGAACCTATCAAAATAATATAGAAATCGACGAAGTTTAATTGGGGAAGTGGGTTTCCTTGTTAGTAGAAGCTTTAGTGTTTTCTCACTTCTACTCTTCTTTTTAGCCATCAAGTACCTACATAAAACCAGGATCTTGGCCTTAAAGGTTGCTCAAAATGCTTGCACGCGCTTCGGCATAGGCTACATCCCCTTCATCCCTTTCTAGGATATCGGGTCTTATGTCATTTTTCATAGATTGCTTTTAGGTTGACTCTCTCCCTCCAGTCCTATAGAAACATTCTACTATCTTTTTCTCCTTATTTACAAAACTATTTGCATCCATTACACATTCTACCTTGACATTGTTATTTTTCTATACTTATCGATTCAAGGACACTTTTAAATTTGTTGAAGAACGTTTGGACAATTAAGGGTTGAAAATAATTTATTTTTTAATGATTTTCATCAAATTATAAGAAATATAATTTTCATCTCTACAAATTTACGAAATTTAATCTATGCTTGTGAACAATCTTCAAAGTTTGAAGGGAATTTATTCGAGAATCTAGGTAAGCAATTGGGGATCTATATACTTTCAATCAACAACATAAAATTCCGTATAGGAAACATTGATGTTTATATGTTTAGTTCCCAGAATATATAGACATGTTGCGCTGAATTATTTTCTTCTAAATAATGATTTAGTCTATCGGGCTTACGAAAAATATCGTGCATGTGCTCAATTAAGAAGTAGATGCTTATTGCTAGAACATTTAAAGACGAATCCTTTCCAATCTTTACTCGTTTGGTTTCAGTGGGTATACATGTTTTCTGGATCTTCTGGAAGTCACTGTAATAATTTAATAAGCCATGGATATGTTTAAAAATTCATTTTCGAAACCTTCCTTCACTGTATTTTATATATTTTACATTTTTCAATTTAATTATGAATTCATCAGTTCATTAAAAAAGAAAAAGAGAAGAATTAATATAAAATCATTTTGAAAAAAAAAATATTTTTATACGATTTTTTTTTTTTTCAAAATTTTTTAATATCTGGTCAGTTCAAATTTTGAGAATTATGAATAAGCACATTATATTGCACAAGCTATACAAACAAAAATTTTGAAAAGCTCCTATAAAATTGCATCTAAATTTTATTTTCCGCATAAATAACGAAAATATATTAATTATGAAAAACTGTAATTAATAAAACTGTGAATAATAACTTCAAAATAGCTCGCATTATATTGATAACTGAAAAGTTAATCCATTACTCAATGTAATTGAGACTAATTTTCTATCTTTTTTCAAAAAACAGTTAATATATTAATCAATTGAGTTATCTCAACTATAAATATTAAACTAAGATCTTTTTCAATATATTCAAAAGAGGTGCGCAGTATCTTTTATGAATATGTTGAAATTCATATTAAAAGAATCTCACCTTGAATAGCGCGATGTAGGTCTTCGTCCTCCACCACCACGACGGCTTCTTCCAGAAGACATTTCAACTCTCACTCTTGTGCCACAGCAGCGTCTGTAAAGGAAAAAACAACCAAGTCAAACGAAAAAAATACATTGAAAGAAACAAAAAATACAAATTATTTATTATTTTTTCGTGACTTAGACGAGGTCGTTTCGAAAAATATCGGACCTTTCTTTATATCTCCGCTCTATGATATTTTTGCGGGGTATAAACGTCAACAGTAAAGCCTCAAAAAACCTATCGGTTGCTTGCTAATATCTACCGGACGTATATTTTATGTGCAGCGTGCCTTTGCTTACAAAGCTATTTTCGAGTTCGGTAGATTTTAAGATTTTTAAAATTGATTGCAAAACAACATTAACGGATTTGCATCAAATTTTGCTTGCAATTCGGAAAAATGAGTTCGGAAACTATTCAGATGGTACAGAAAGTCTTTGGGAATAAGTGTATTAGCAAAACATGAATAAAAGAGTGGTATAATTGTTTCAAAGGAGGCCGCACTTCTGTTGATAGTGATTCTCGTTCTGGCCGACCTTCAACGACAAAAACATTGGATAATATTGAGCAGGTGCGATTTACTATTGCATAACATCGTGATATGATTGTGTGAGAACTATAAAAAGACCTTGGAATACCAAAAACTAATTTAGGAAATCTTAACTTCAAATTTGTAACCGAGGAATCTTTTCTCGATAATAATAATAATGGAAGGTTCGGGATGGAGGTCGTCTGAATAAGCAGAACAGTGTAATGAGATAAAATTATTCTTTGTTTAATACATAATTTGATTGCGCCAGGGCTTGGTTCCAGCGGTCTCCGGTTGGCCAGCCTGTAAAAAATGAATAAACTAATTGTAATATAACTCAATAAATATGTGTACGTCTGCATGTATGTTACAAAATACTTCCCAGTTCTAGTTAGTATAATATTTCATTGTCAAAACGACTGTTTCGACCACGGACAGAGCGCTGCCTGTGGGAGAAACAGTTTCTCTTGAATCAGCGAAGTCCTGGTGCACGAGTACTTTGTTGATTCTAGAGCGCTAGCGTGGGCTGGGCAGGAGTGTAGAGCGATCTTGGCATCTCTTTCTCACGACGGGGCGCCGCCACCTGGTGCGCCAGAAACGAGGCAACTGCGGTTTGGTCTATCGGTGTTGCGGATCCTCTCTCTTACAAAACGGAACGCCGCTATGAAGGAGAATAGGTGAGCGGGCAAGCGCTAAGAGTTCGCTAGATCCGGCTCCGGTCGGTGTCGTGAGGGCGCGATGTAGGGCTGATCCTACGGAATTATCTACAGCGATCCCCCAGGAGGTCGTATTCGATGCGCCGAGCTCAGCCAACAATACTCCATTTCATGCACCAAGGCTGAGAGGTGCATTTTGATTCGGAACTGACTCGAAGTCTTTCAATCAGACCTATCTATAGGCACGGATCGAGCGTTCGTTGCGGTGGCGGCAGCGACGATGCTTCCTCTGGTGAGAAAGCCTTGCATGAAACTTCGTAGTGCGCTGCGTTATGCCACTAGGGGGGAGGGGTTCATCGCAAATTTAAAAATAACATATATATTCGAAGTTCATTCAGAAATGGCTTATTGCAGGGAAGAAAAAGCATTGCTCAGAAATCGCTCAGGACAACATAGTAATCATCAATAGCGATGATAGCGTGCTTAATAAGGTTATTACGGAAGCATTCTGGATCGCCAAGACCGAAAAAAGCACGTTAAAGTCGGAGTAATGTTAAGTCAATGTTGATTATTTTTTCGATTAAGAAGGTATTATGGACCACGAATATGCACCAATAGGTCAGACAATCAACAAAGAATACTACGTTTAAATTTTGAAACGTTTGCGTGATGCAGTAAGAAGAAAACGGCCGCACTTTTGGGAAAGTGGTGACTAGCTTCTCCATCACGATAATGCGCCAGCGCATTCATCCAATCTTGTGCAGCAGTTTTTGAGCAAACACAATATCGCATTGCTTCGACAACCTCCATACAGTCCCGACATAGTCCTTTGTGACTTTTGGCTGTTTCCAAAACTAAAAAAACCACTCAAAGAACACCGATTCGATGACAAAACAACGGTTGAAAACAATGCGACGAGTGTACTTACGGCTATCCCTAAAAGTGAGTTCCAGGACTATTTTGAAAAGTGGAAACATCGATGGAACCGTGTTAATCAATCAAGTGGGGATTACTTGGAAGGATGCTACCCACCAGATGATAAAGAATAACGCTAGCACGAAAATATAAAGGTAGGCTCGATACTTTCCGGACAGACCTCGTACACTAGAATTTTTTCAAAGAATATCATGATTTTTTGTTTTTGCTATTGGTCAATTTTGGTAAAAGCAATAAATTCTCAAAAAATATGAAAATTTCTAACGTATTCTTCAGAGATATAGAAGAATATTTTATTATTTGATAATTTTGCTGTAACCGTATATTTTTTGAACAAAAAATTTTGATAACTGATAAAACTTTAATATTTACAATGTTTTTCCTGGACGCAATGCACAAATAGGAAATATTGCTAACAAGCAACTCTTGCAAGATATCCGACTCTAATTTTTATGTAACTATAACATGTCGTAAAACATAAAAAAATTAGAGAAGTTTTTTTTATCGTTTTTAGGGGGTGAAAAAACAAACAAAAAAAAATACCACGGAAAACGAACTTTTCTTAATATCTCTAAAAAAACTGAACATTGATCAAATTCTAAGGCCAAATTGTTTGTTATAAAATGGCAGTTCTATGACAAGTATTTGTACCCTATACGGTTATAACTTCTAATTTTTTTAGGTAGAAATATTCTTTTTTTTTACAATTTTTTGAATACCAGTTTTTTGAAATTGCTTAAATTAAATTAAAATATACATATTTATAAAGAAAACGGTAAATTTTAGTCAAGATCTTTCGGAAAATTTATCAAAAAATCGATGTATGGAGGTTACCAACGTCTATATTACGAGAAACAAAATTTTGAAGTTAATATACTTTCATAGAGTATAAAGAATATTCTGAATAAGTATTATCAATATTCTGCAAAGAGATATTCTGAAAAAAAAACAACGATTGTAGGAATCATCTGGTATTTTTACACTTTAATAAGCCGCTGTTTTCATTTATTTAATTCCTGTTATAACTTCTACTCTTATCAGTATAAGGTTAGTCGAATGAGCCATTTCGACAATTAAAAACATCTATCAGAAGCGTCTGGCGGTAAATGTTTATATTTTAATTGTGTTAATTAGGAGGCTTCTAATATTTGAAAAAAATGAGAATCAATCTAATGAATATAATTAATCTTCTACGAGGCGGAGTCAATAAGTCTTTACAAAATCCAAGAAATGGTGCTCGTCACGCTTAAATTATGATGTTTTTGGCAAGCAATACTACTAACTAGATATCGTACGAAGTTTCAGGTCGATTCATTAAGTCGTTTTTTTGTGAGCGTTGGTTGAACAGAAAGTTATTCGTTTATTTGAAAAATGGAAAAAAACAGAGTTTCGGGCGGTGATAAAACATTTTCATTTGAAAGGCCTTACACCAAAAGAACTCACAGTTGAGTTGAACGGCGTTCATGGCAAGTCTGCTCCTGTGTTGAAGACTGTTTATAACTGGGTAAATGAATTGAAACACGGCCGTACAACAACAAAAGATGAATCTCGTTCAGGACGCCCCGTAGAAGTGAGTACGCCCGAAATGGTCAACAAAATCCATGATATGGTGTTGAGTGATAGAAGATTAAAACTGCGAGAATTAGTTGAGGTCACAGGGGTATCGTAGGAAACAATCATTTCAATTTTGCATGAAAAATTGGGGATGAAACAAAAATATCAGCAAGATGGGTGCCGCGTTTGCTCACTGTCGAAAACAAACGAACCCGCGTGGTCACCTCTGAGGCTCTTTCGGCACGTATACGTCGTAATTCGGATGACTTTTGGCGTCGACTCGTAACTGTAGACGAAACATGGGTACACCACTATACTCCTGAAACCAAAGAACAGTCCAAACAATGGATTACCGCAGGAGAACCAGCCCCAAAGAAGGCAAAGACAGTAAAGTCCGCTGGCAAGATTATGGCCACGGTTTTCTGGGATGCGTATGGAATCATCTACATCGACTACTTTGAAAACGGCCAGACGATCACTGGACAATATTATGCGTCATTATTAGGTCAGCTGAATAAAAAGATCAGAGAAAAACGTCCTCACTTGAACAAAAAAAATGCCTCTTTCTTCAAGACAATGCTCGAATTCACACGTGTGCAGTTTCGATGGCAAAAATTAACGATTTAAAGTTCGAATTAATTGATCATCCACCATATGATTTGGCTCCCAGTGACTTTTTCTTATTTCCCAACCTCAAAAAATGGTTTGCTGGACAACGGTTCACGTCGAATGAAGAAGTCATCGTCGAAACAAATGCCTATTTTAAGGGTTTTCAGAAATCATATTTTTCTGATGGCTTAAAAAACTGGAAAGCCATTTAATAAAATGTATCGACATTCAAGGAGATTATGTTGAAAAATAAAAAAAAATTACATACGCAAAACTTTTTTTCAATCTTTTTGTAAAGACTTATTGACCCCCCTCGTACTAACAGCATTCCAAGTTATCAATATACAAAAAACTCCTGTTATCCATGCAGAATTAGAATTGAAAGCAAATATTGTAAAAATTCTTTTGAATGCTATGGATAACTTTATCGAAATGGAAGCTCTAGAAGGTAATACACTCGAATTTGAAGAATTAAAAAATTATGAAACAATGGCCCTTGAAAATAATATATGGTACAAACAGCCTGCTGATTTTGATAAATGTACCGTGGATGATGAAAAATTTAGTTATAAATACAAAAAGAAAGCAGTATATATTAGAGATCTGTAAAGATGAGACATTTCTGCATTGACACTGTTAAATAAAAGTAAAAAAAAACTATCGTCTGAATAACAATTACATCGTTGGATAAATTAGATTAATAAAGGCGATACGTAAATGGAAAAACTTAATACAATTTCTGAATTGGTACTAAAAAATTTTCAAGATTT